CACTTTTAATTGAGTAACCTTTTGAATGCAGGCATTTTACTTGTACGAGTATTCCTACACTTTTGTACTTCTACTTTTACTCAAGTACAAGATCTGAGTACTTATTCCACCTCTGCATTTCTGTAAGCGAAGAAAATATACGAGCTACTTGCATAGTTTAGTCCTGGCCATAGACTGTATGTCCTGGCCAACTGTACATACCCTCTGCATTCTTACCCCTCGCCGCCTGGTGGCAGCAAGAAACCAAACATATATCAGAGGTGCCTCTGTAAACGCCCCCTTATGAGGCGTTTACTACCTTCAAGTGTCCGCGTTTTGGATCGGTAACCTTAGTTTTTATCTGCCCTGTTGCAGTTTTCCATGTAAAAAAAATGGCACGATTTCTCCTCAGAGCAGACCTCCGGAGGTGTGTCGCCTCTCAGATACGGATGGCATCTGATCAGGTACTGTCACACTGCGGTGGACTGGTGACAGATGTTGGCTTTCTGTTAGCATTAGCTTGCTCATATCAGCTGGAGTAGTTGTTTTTCGGACTAAGTTAGCAAGGCTAACTACTTGCTTAGTTATATTTAGGGATCAACTATATTGCGGGTCGTCAAGACTCAAGTCAAGACTGCAGCATGTTGCTTATGGCTACAATTTAATGTTGCTAATCTTGAACTCTGAAAAATATAAATCCTGTTTAACTGGTAGTGCTTGAATTTAAGGAAGAACATTTTACTCAATTGATGTTACTATTTAATTAGATGCTACTTAGCACTTATGTTTTTCATTATGATATTGCTTGTGACTAAATCATCTAGTACTTTCCCCACATCTTGTGACACAGTCATAAGTTAACATACATTTAGGTTTTTCAAAAAATACACACGTCTGCTCTGCATAGACAGCAAGTAGGTTAAGGAGCAAGGAGTTACAGGTGTGTCACCTTTCGCAGTGACAGTATAGAAACATACATTAAATGTGCTTCTTGCAAAAAAAGAATGAACTGTTTCCCTGTGCCTTTGCTGAGATTGTTAAAGGGTTATGTTTTATCAATCGTTGTGTTGTTCTTGATTTATGGCTATTATCTTTCCCTTACAGATAAAGACATTGATTGTATTGTATTCACACAATGAGCAATAGGAGGAATACCTTAATTTAGTTATTTGTTAGATATAAGTTATTCAAATATTTTAAGCAACCTCATTTGATTTACAAACAAGAGGATCCTTTGAATGTGTATTTTTTTATATCTAACACAATTCTGTTGACCACCAGCTTCGAGAGTTGGGCAAGGGAGCGGGCAAAGGTGGAGGTGGAGGAGGCTCTGTGAGGGAGGCAGGGGGTGCATTTGGAAAGAGACAAGCACAAGAGGAGCATTACTTCAGGTGAGAAGGACGCCGGTATATTTGTTATCACATTGTAATAGGCTCATTCCTGTGGCCATGGTTTCACACATGATTTTAACCCAGCCACTTCTAAACTGCAGGCAAAAGGAGAAGGCGCAGATGGAGGCACTGAGGAAGCATCATTCAGAGGAGATTGAGCATCACAAAACGGAGATTGAGCGCCTACAAAGGGAGATTGACCGCCACAAGGGCAAAATTAGAAAGCTGAACCATGACGACTAAAGCCAGTTATCATCATCTGATTCCAAAGTCAATCCATATCTTCTATTGGTTTGCTGCTGGCCAAGGCAGTTCCACTTTGAACTGCCTTAATTAATACCAATAAAGCACTTAATTTTTTTATTTCATGAAAGCTTTTGCAAATGTGTGTGGTTTTTTGTATTGTCCTTTGTTTATTTCCAAAATGTCAGCTGTTTGTATGCTTTGCGTCAACTGTGTTTATTCGAAAATAAGGTTGAACCTGTTTTAGATCTGCACAAAACAGATGAAGAATATCATTGGGCTGAAGTCGTGTCAGTCAAAGTTCATCCTCTGTGGTTTGTTGTTGATGATGAAGCACTTTTTTTAAGTCCCCTTGTTGTCCGATTACGTGCTGAATATCTTTGCTAGTTCAATTGGATGTAACTGTATCCTCTAATTTTGTTAGTGTGGAATGAAATCTTCTTCCATAATTTGTGTCAAGTATTATGTCATACTTTTCACAAGATACATGAATGATATGATACTAAAGGATATAATACATCTATGACATTACAGTTGGCGAGGACTATGCATGCAAGAAGGGACTATGCTGCAAATCGCCATGAAAAGTAGTCAAAACGAACACCCGCCCCACTGCGCGTTTCCCCACCAAATCTCGCGAGCGTTGCTGAGCGGTGGCGTTGTTCGGGCGAGCCGACGACGAGACCGTAGCTGTCTGGAAATTTGTCTCGTGGGTTGGACTCAAACGTATTCTTCATAATTGTCATTTTTTTTACGTGCGACAAGTTAATCGTCCCGCATTTTAACACACGCCATTGTTAGCGTCCCGAATCAGACTGGTGAGTTATGCTAACTATGTGTTGGCACCTTGTACAAAGCATGTGTCTGAGAGCTGTCTTTCTGCACGCCGAGGCCTTCGCATAAGCTCGTTAGCTAGCCCGCTAAACAATAGCACTGTTAGCTCAAGATTATAATTTAACATATATTATGCTCTGAGAACTGCCCATTTTATGTGACTGTAAATATATAGCGTTCGCCCAGTGTATGACTGCATATACATATGAAAATAAAATGTGTCAACCTCTAGCTAGCAGGCTGCATGTGAAGGGGGCGGGACGGTGTCTTCCTAAGTAACCATGTTATGTTACCGTGCAATATCTTCTCCTTTTCACATGCATTTCATTTGTCTAACAGTGTTTATAATGCATGTAATTCATAGTTTGTTGATTTTACGGTTTTTAGAAATTCCTTGTATTTCATCAATAAAGTAACGTTTATGGTTCAAAGTCAGGTCACAACATCCATCCGTTTGAAAACAAGTTGCTTAATAACAGTTTCATATTTATGAAATGTCTCTACTGTGAGACTAATAAAGGGTTATCTTATCCGTCTACAGGACAATGGCTGCCGCTGAGGTAAACGGTAGCTCTGCCCCGGTTAAGGAGGAAGAAGAGCCCATGGATGTGACAACACACACAGAAAACTACCAGACGCTCATTGATGCTGGGCTGCCCCAGAAAGTGGCTGAAAGTTTGGATAACATTTTCCTGACAGGTGGGTGAGAGTTTTTTGTCTAAGAGCTTTGACATGTCATATTAAGAAGCTGCGATGAAGTATAGCAGATGTCTACTGTAGCTTGTACTGACTGAACATGCTTTTTAAATGTAGGCTTGGTGGCATATGTTGACCTTGATGAAAGGGCCATTGATGCCCTGCGTGAGTTCAATGAGGAAGGGGCACTGACTGTGCTGCAGCAGTTCAAAGAGAGCGACCTGTCCCACGTACAGGTAAATACTTAAATGGATTACTGCCTTTCTGTCTTGGTGAGGAGTTTCATGTTATTGTAGACAAAATAATAACTTTTTTTATTTTTGTTATATAGAATAAAAGTGCTTTCCTTTGTGGAGTCATGAAGACTTACAGACAGAGAGAAAAACAAGGAAGTAAAGTACAGGAATCCACAAAGGGCCCAGATGAGGCGAAAATAAAGGTAAAGAAACTACTGAAGCAGAGCTTTGTTGCATAGATGGATTAAAATGAATGTCATTCAAACATTCCTGCGCAGTCATGCTGCTCAGTTCATGTTGTTTGTTGTTGTTTTTCAGACTCTGTTGGAGCGGACGGGATACACCCTGGATGTCACCACAGGGCAGAGAAAGTACGGAGGTCCCCCACCTGAGGATGTGTTCAAAGGAATACAACCAGGGATTGGAACAGAGGTAGATTAGAGATGTCTATAAAGCAGCCTCTCATCATTCAATGTCTCATATTTATGGGGGAAACGGTATTAGATCTGTGTTACAGCACCATTTATTATTCTGCAAAACATGATATGTATTTATGAACAAATCATAACACTTGTCCACCTGCTTCTCCTTTATTTTTCAGGTGTTTGTTGGAAAAATCCCAAGGGATTTGTATGAAGATGAGCTGGTACCTCTCTTTGAGTCGGCCGGTTCCATCTGGGACCTTAGGCTAATGATGGACCCTCTCTCTGGTCAGAACAGGGGTTACGCCTTCATCACCTACTGCAATAAGGATGATGCACAAAAGGCTGTGAAGCTTGTAAGTAGCATGGTATAGCCTTTTGAAGAAATGCATCAAATTATATAACAACTGAGTTAGTTTTAAAGGAATGCTGGAGACAGTTTGAAATAGTCGTATTTGATATATGGAGTATTATTTAAAAGGATACAAGCTTAAAATGACCTAATTCTTAAAGTTGGTGTTCATTTATAATGAGTTTCACATGATTTCATTTTCAGTGTGATAACCATGAAATCCGCCCTGGCAAGTACTTGGGAGTCTGTATATCTGTTGCAAACAATCGCCTGTTTGTCGGATCAATTCCAAAGAACAAGACAAGGGAAAGTATATTGGAAGACTTTGGCAAAGTTACAGGTCAGTCCCAAAGCAAGGAGGGAGATTTTTGTCAGTAACTTCTATTAAAATAAATTAATTTAGGATTATAGACAGGACAACTGTTTTGGAAGTTAGAGATGTTATTGTCTATCTCACAGAGGGTCTCCAAGAGGTCATATTGTACCACCAGCCGGATGACAAGAAGAAGAACCGCGGCTTCTGTTTCCTGGAATACGAAGATCACAAGTCTGCAGCGCAGGCTCGCCGCCGCCTGATGAGCGGCAAAGTGAAGGTGTGGGGGAACCCGGTCACTGTGGAGTGGGCCGACCCTGTTGCTGAGCCAGACGCCGAGGTCATGGCCAAGGTTGGTTCCATATCTTTTTTCTTTAAAACACACATATGCATTTTCTACAGGGCAACAAACTGTCTCTCTTTGTTTTTGATTTCATAGGTCAAGGTGCTCTTTGTAAGAAAGCTGGCCACATCAGTGACTGAAGAGCTTCTCGAAAAGACCTTCTCTCAGTTTGGAAAGCTGGAGCGAGTGAAGAAATTGAAAGATTATGCTTTTGTCCATTTTGAGGAGAGAGATGCTGCTGTAAAGGTGTGTTTTTCATTAAAGTTGTGTTGCATGTCTGATTTTTGCCATGTATGTTACACTCATTTATCGTTTTGTTTGGTTAGGCAATGGATGAGATGAACGGGAAGGAGCTGGGAGGAGAGGAAATTGAGATCGTCCTGGCAAAGCCGCCAGATAAAAAGAGGAAAGAGCGACAAGCAGCTCGCCAGACCACTAGGAATTCTGGGTGAGTAACAGAGACATGGGACTCCAGTGTTTTCCCTGAAGGCTCAGTATGTGAGTTAATACACATTTGACTGTTGAGCTAGTTTCTCTCTCTTCGCTGAACTCTGTTTTTCCCAGAGGGTTGGGCTTTGCAAACACACTCTCTGTATTGAGCAGATACATAATTCAAACGCTTGGCAGTACGCCGACTTGTTTTTCTTTCTAGCAATATTAGCTGCTGTGTTTCAGCAAAATTCGAAAAAAACTAAAAGCCAAACTGCGATGCTCTGTTCTGTCGGAGAGTGACTTACAATAAGTAAGAGTAAAAGAGATATGAACAAAGTTAAGTTTAGCTGCTTAACTTTGTTAGCTGCTCGGCTAATTTACAGTTTAAAATGCTTTAGGCATAAGTGTATTCTCTCATAAGGAATCATTCAATTAACTTGTCCTCCCCTCTGCAGGTATGATGACTATTACTACTACCCCCCTCCACGCATGCCGCCACCAGGCCGAGGCAGGGGTCGCGGTGGCCGGGGGGGCTATTCCTATCCACCTGATTACTATGGGTATGACGACTACTATGATGACTACTATGGCTACGACTATCATGACTACCGTGGTGGCTATGAAGACCCTTACTACGGCTATGAAGATGTCTACAGCATGAGGGGCCGGGGTACTCGTCCTAGCAGGGGGGGGCCTCCTCCGCCTAGAGCTCGTGGGGCACCCCCGGCACGAGGCCGTGGGGGCTACGCCCAAAGGGGACCACCCCTCGGTGGTCCTAGGGGTGGCCGCGGGGGGCGGGGAGCCCCTTTCCAGCCGCAGAGAGGCCGCGGGCCACGCGGGGCCAGAGGAAACCGCGGGGGGAACGTCGGCGGGAAGAGGAAGGCAGACGTGTTCAACCAGCCTGACTCCAAGCGCCGCCAGACCAACAACCAGCAGAACTGGGGGTCCCAGCCCATCGCCCAGCAGCCCCTGCAGCAGGGGGCCGACTATTCCGGTAACTATGGTTACAGTAATGACACCATGGAGTTTTCACAGGATTCTTATGGGCAGCAGTGGAAGTAGATGCACCCAAAGGTATTTGGCAAAGTGACAACAAAAAAAGAGAAAAACAACAATAAAAAGGAAAAAAAATTACAGGAGATTGGCCACAATTTTTTGATTGACTTTTTATTCTTCACCCCTCATGAAAAAAAAATATCTGTACATATGTCAGAAAAAAATGGACAGACCCCAGAATTGGCTCGAAGTGATTGGCTGGAAAGCCTTTTGGCTGAAGAAGTGAACGTAACCGTTGTGGTGAATCATTTCTTACTCTTACGGTTACATTGGGACATTTTAAAAAATACACGAAACACTTTTATTGTTACATTTTGTTCCTGATTCATTTAAAGCCAACAATGAACATTTACAAAGTGGACATTGATTCCCAAAAGTCTGAGAGGACATTAAATAATGATATTGCCTTGTAGGAAGTTTTTGTCCATGCCCCTTCCCCCCCTTCCCTTCTTGTACTCCCTTTATTTGTGGTTTCTCATAGTTGCTTAGGGACTTGCTTGTAAATAAATGCATATGGTTAGAGCTTCATACTTCATTTTTTGCAATGGTGGAGAAAAGAATCCACAGGAAGGAAGAAATTCAAAGTTTTGTAATGTTCAAAGTGTATGCCTAGCATTTCTAGCGGTAGACAAATTGTGTTTTTTTTTTAAACTGATACCATAACTTCCTATGTTTTCTTTGAACTTGCCCAATAGAATTTGGTTTGGCTTACCTTAAGAGCCATAGCAGTTTGTTCTGATGTTCTTTGTATTTATAACTTTTACGTTTGTTCCGTTTCAATAAAACTCAGCTGAGCATCAGTCAATTGTCAGATACTCAAATTCAGTGTTGTCAGTATTTGATTTGATTTTACCTCAATTCTCTCATTTGGATGAAGATCTTCTTTCCAAGTCAAATTTCTTGCCTCAAAGGAATAATACAAATACTGAAAATGGATTTTAACCCTTTTTAATTTTCAGTGCATGTTACGTCGGACTACAGTCATTTCCTGCACTCAATTTTATTTACAGAATATCACAGAAATACCAACAACTGCAAATGTGACTTATTGCTGTTACTCAAGATTGTACCTGTCACAGTTTGTTTGCACAGGTAAACAGTGTATGCCTCACTAAATCCACTTATCTGCCATTCATGAAGAAAAGGAAAACACTGAGTGCTTCATATAGGTACATTTATCTTTGTGAAAATTGTTAAATTAGAAACTGTCCTTTTTCTTTCCATTTGACCTCTTCTGCGCCATCCAAATACATATTTTTGGGATACGGCTAAGGAACCAATTTCATGTGCAGAACATTAGCAGAGATTTAACAATGTTGTGCATGTTATTATGGGATGAGGTTTAGTCGCGCTCCAATTTTCTTTTTTGTCTTGGCAGGTGAACATTTATTGTATACCTGTGCAAACAAACTTTACTGACAGACAATCTTGAATAATGGTGGAATGTCACTTGCACTGGTATGATCCTGATACTGACACCTTTACAACAGCTGGAACATCATATTTAACTCTGAATGGATTTGTACGTGTATATGCTGAGTTTTCTCAATTTCGTTTTTTAATCATCTGAACCATCTCTGCTCCCTTTTTTGAAGACACCAAGGATCTGACCATCCAAAGGGTTGCAATTCTAAAACGTGCCTTCTGCCATAACAAGTGACCACCTAATTTGTTTACCATAGAAAGTGTTTTTAGCATCTGCCTTGTGGTTCCATGGTATCATTGTATTTTGTTTCATGTGTCTGTCCTCTTATTCCAACCTGCCTAGGTGGTGAAGCATTGAGAGCCGCAGCGCTAGAATGAGGAACTCCCCTGAACGGTACTCGAGGGTGAGCTAGCCTTGCACAGAGTACTGTCTCCTCTCCTAGCTAATGTAATCACTGGAGAAACACTAGCCGTAATTATGCTTTATTCTTTTAATTGTTTTCTTACTAATATACTGCACTATGAATCAAGCTTCTGTTAATTCAGTAGGAGAGTCAATTGTTATTTTCCAGGCTATGACGAACCTAAGTCATAAAAATTGACTGAAGAATCATTGGGAATATTACAATTAATTTTAGCAGTATGTTTCTGGGGCTTAAACCCATGAGGAATGTGTATTTCCTTCAGACATAGTGAATATTTTCCCCCTTAGGCAAAATGAAAAGTCCTGCACAAGCCGGAAGATCTGGAAAGTGCTGTGAACCCTTAAACCCTGCAAACACCTGTTGCTTGTCTTGGCTCCCTGCACCAAAATCTTCTCATCTGTCTACCCACACACACACACACTCTGAAAGGGAGGGGGGTGGTGAACGTTTCCCTTCCTACACCGCTAGAGGCAGCAGTTTCACACCAGCACGAATAATGATCCATTGTTCCTTTTATCCGACGCTGCATTTATTGGGCATTTCCTGAGCTGGAAATGCATTGAGTAAAATGTAGATAACACTTTAGAAGCTGTTGTTTAAATGTATTTAACTAGCAGGGGGGATCCGAAGGAAATACTGATTAAATTGGCTGATGTTGGAACAATGGCCGTGCCTGTACATCATAACTCCACAAGATGGCAGTAGATAGGCCACAGTATTTATATTGCACAGGTAAGGGTGAAAAAGGGAGCACATGGTAACATCAGGAAGCTCATTGTTTCACACGTTTTGTTTTGCATTAAAGTGCCATCAAATGCTGGAGTTTCCTTTACAGTTTCTCACATCAGAACTGTGTCTCTATATGTTGCCTCTTGTCACCAGGCAGTAAAGGAGCTGCCCCATCCTGAATGGGTTCACACAAATGGAAGGGATGGATTGGTAAGATTGTTCATTATCTGTACTAATGCTCAGAAAGTTGCACTATATTTCTGCCTCTTTTAAATTACTAGTATTTTGGACCATAATGTTTGATTTTGTTGTCTATTACGTTGAAATGTATTATGGCAAAATTATTTGTATTTTTACCTCCAAACACACAGAAACCGAGATACACAGAGCCACACGTGGCAGCACCTAACAACATACAAATATTGACAGTACACAAGAAAGTAATGTATGCATTCAATGAATTATCCTTGCAAACTGTACAAGGCTGCAAAAGGAACAATTGTTCAACTTTTTAGGATCTTACAAAGCGCAAATATATTCTGTAACTTTCTTTTTAAAGATACGACCCAGCTTCATGTTACATATCTGGCATATACTTTTTTTCCGATGTTTTAGCTATTATTGCATAATGTTTTTTAGATAATGGAGTATGTCTCCTGTGTTTTGATGGTGGTTGATGGTCATGTTGATGCTTAGGAATGGATTAACCATGGTTGGCTAACATGTCCTTTTCTGTGTGGTCCTTTTCTAGCTCAGAGTCAGGGGACTGCACGCTGTGAGCCAGATGGTTTCACAGCGCTCAGGATGAACTGCTGGCTGGACCGGGGCCAGAACTCGTTGGAACATGAGCTGAATGCCCTTTTTCCAGGTCAGCAGCCGACACAGGTGAGAAATAATTGTGGAATAATGCGTCAACTCTTGTATTGGATTAAGTTTTGGCTTTGAGTCTTTATATTGCTAAAATCAACTTCTTGGTGTACTCAGGTTAATGACGAGTCTTTATTGGATCAAAGACTAGTGCATATAAATCTATATATATATGTGTGTATATATATGTGTATATCTTTATTGGATCAAAGACTAGTGCATATAAATCTATATATATATAGGTGTATATATATATGTATATATGTATATATATGTGTGTGTATATATATATGTGTATATATATAACAGCAGTCTTGAGTAATGTCATAGATCTCACGGATCCTTGGAAGTCTTTACATTTGTGAGGTAAGACTTGAACGTTTTAGTAAATAGACATTGGTTATTAAAAATGCTTGAATTTATATATGTGCAAAATAAAGACTTTTATCAACTCTGTAAATATGTCTGTCTTTGTCGCTATACTTACACATATTACTGTGCGGTGTCAAACCTCTTTTTAATTGTGTCCGTGAGCCTGCTAGTTCTCATTCTAGCAGTTAATTAACCTTGACCCTTGTCTCAAGCTATACCGTGTTCTGTCCTTGAATTTAAAGACATTGGTAATGGAAAGTCATTGGATTGATATTCAGAGCTGTCCTTTTGTTGTACCCAAATTGTACTTCTAGCACTTTATCCACTCCGCTTAACATCAACAGTGAGGAGCAACCAATAACAATTGGTATAAATGTAGGTAGGTAGTTTTCCTTAATTTTTTATAACAATTGAAATATTGTTCAGAAGTTGCCTTTAGTATTTTTTTTAGCTTTTTGTGAAGTTGTTTAACTTATGTTATTATTCTAGTATTACATATTTTCACTGAACCCAATGGGTTCACTGAAAAAGCAGAGGGACATTGCTCCACCATAAGGTTTACATTAGGAATCATTCACACAAAGTCTGTAATGAGAGCATTATAGTGATGCTTATCCTATTCCACACAGGAAATTAGAATATATTAGTGGGATGTCTAACCGTGGGGCATGTAAACACAATGGGTGGAAACACTGTCAGTTTTTCACTGTGCTGCAAAATCGAGGTTAAAGGTAGGGTGTTTTATGCCAAACCCGTTGTGGAGGAGCAGGGTTTTTAACCATGATATAGATTACGTAATTCAGAAAATGTACAACCGTTTTAGTCCATCGTTCTTAAGTATGGGGTTTTAATTGAGCTCGTGCAGGAGTTGTAGATTACTGATATTCACGAGATGCATTCACGTAAGTTTACAGGAAATGTAAAGGCTGGTAACGACCATTGACTGTATACTGTCCTGGTTCTTGGTGTAATGTGTGCGATAGAGAACCAATGCAAGGCTCTATTGAATGGTCTCAAGTGAATCTAAACAAAAAAAGGTGAAGGAGTCGATATACCTTTGTTACATTTCATTGGGTAATCTTTCAAGTTTTGTCATATTGCGCACAATAAAACTGAATATCCTGCATTTTCCCAATTTGACACACGGATATATTTGCTTGAGTCAAAGCGGAAGTTCCTGAATTTTCAAAATAAGGCAAGGATATATCCATGGATATATATATATTTATTAAATAAATGAAAAGGACGTGTCCTTTTACTAATTAAATGTTTTGTATTTTCCGTGCTAATAACAGGTTATTAATTATAGGGAAAAAAGCAGTTTCGAAATAAGCAGTGCTATTATATAAGTTGTTTTTTAATATGGATTCGAAAATAACCATATACTTTCAATTTATATTATTTAATTCATTATTATTGACGTACATTTATTCATAAGATGAAGTTGTAGAAAGCAGATAAACTTTGAACGACTTGCTGTAAATAAACTGCATGGTCACGTGGTTCCTCTACGTCACATAAGCCAGGGGGAAGATGGCGGCCGCCGGAGGAGAGTCTTCTACCACGAATGTGTCGGATGAATTATTTCAAAACTTTTACACGGAGGTATGATAAAGCTAATGAGACTTTGTGTTTTTTGAAAGTGTTGCTCGCTGTCTCTTCATCGGCTGAAGCCGGCTACTCAAAAGCTCTCGTGTTTATTAGCTAACAGGCCTCAGACATGAACACAAGCTAACGATGAGAAGCTAACGATAATATTCACAGAGGTGTTTTCTTTCTGGTGTTCAGGACACCCCCACATATAGTCTCATGCTTATTTTTTGAACTACCACAAGTCACTTAATCTTTATCACAGTTGGATAACTATAATTATCCTCAATGCAGTTGCTGTTAGCCTACTATCTAGCAGCTTTATCAATCGCAGTGCAGTGTAAACACGCTTTGGCCAGTAACATCATATCAAATGAATGAGGTCAGGCTCCCAAAAAAGCTGCAGAGGATCCTCCTGTCCACCACTAACACTCCTGCATGCTGGCTGTGATCACAGAAACCCCCAGAAGAGAAAAATACACAGAACATCCCCAGAAAGTTTGACTTCGAACTAATCTTTATTTATATTGCATCTTACTTTCTTACAAGCATGTATCCAAAAGAGGTTCACCTAGAGATAAAACAAGAAGTTAGCAATGTAGAGGGGAAAATCACAACGACATATTAAGAATAAGTAAATAAGCCAATAGAATAAAAATAAAGACCAAGATTCAAAATAATGTAGAAAATGGATTCAAAAGGGAGAGGTTTTCCATTTCCTTTTTGAAACGCATAGCAAACTTGGATATCTTTCAGCATTAAACCACCATACAGTTTCCTTTTCTTTTTACAAACTGCTACTTTGTTTGTGAAGGAAGTGTTCATGATCATAATGTGTTTGTTTGTTTTTACAGGTAAAGCAGATTGAGAAGAGAGACTCTGTGCTGACCAACAAGCAGCAGATTGACAGACTGCTCAGACCTGGCTCTTCCTACTTCAATCTCAATCCCTTTGAGGTGAGTACACCACCAATGAAGTATGTTGCTGAGGTTTGTTTTGATTAGTTTAATGGTTAATACATTTAAATATATAAAAACGTTAACTGCCAATCATCAAGTTATGAGACATTAACATATATCTGATGAAATCGCTAATCAACTCAATTATTGATTCTAATAACATAATTGTTAGGGAATAATTTGCTTAGGTATTCAACCTTCGACACAGTTAATGGTTTTCTCTTTCTTCTGTCTCCTTTGCCATGGCATAGTTCTACGGCCTTGGGTATTGCTGCTATCTCTCTTAAGGAGGAGCAGCTTGGGCGCATTGTTGTTGCCACTATGACAGAGCACAAGCTGCCATGAGGTAGCTTACTGTTCAGGGACGAAGGTTCCCTGGTGCACATTCTTTCTAGTTAGATTCAGGGTCCATATTTGTTTAGTCTCGCTGATGAAGAATGTTGATTATTACACTCCGAACTAGTTAAAACCTCGAGCTGCAGAAGAGTTCTTCAGAATTGGTTTGGCAACCGCTGTGTCAACTCGTGACACACCACCTTTCTTGTCAATTCTCCGGTCTTAACTCCAAATAAACCGTCAGTGTTTGCCATCAAAGCTCCAGCTCTCCTCGTGTCTCTCTGACTCCTGTTTCCATTGCTTCAGAAGTTTCCATCACAATAACATTTTGGGGAATCAGATCTTGAAATGTATACAAATGTCCTTTTTTCTTTACTTAATGACTAGCCATTTCTAATGTAATACAAATCCAATCTGTGACTTAAACGCTTACTCCCTACTTTATAGGGTTTTTTTGTATTCTCCCCCCCCCTCCCAAAAGAATTAGAAAAATGACCTCATCTGTTAAACTTTTGGGTGAATTTTACAATCTTACAATAGGCTGAAAAATCTGCTGTTGTCAAGCCCTCATCAGAATATGAGTCACCAATTACTGTCTTAACAATATGATCACAGCAGAAATATTCCTCTTGTGTTGACACTTTGGTTAAGATCTCAATGTGATATAAACTTACCAATGTTCACCTCATGCTCAGGTGCTCCAAATTGATCCTGAGGCAACAGATGATCAATTGAAGAAAAGATTTCGGGCGGTAAGAATACAAAACAAAAGAATTGTCAGCGCTCTCCACTGTGACTAGCTGTGGATGTGGTGCCATGAGGTTTTTTGGAACTACTTCTCTAATATTTGCTCTCTTTAATCTGCAGTTATCCATCTTGGTCCATCCAGACAAAAATCAGGATGAACAAGACAGATCGCAGAAAGCCTTTGAAGGTAAAATCTTCACCACCCTGTATGTGTTCAGAGGCTTTAACTGTCACATGCACAGAAGCTACAGGGTAGTTGTTGGCGATACAAATGTTTAGTCGTCGGCTCCTCTAACAATGCAACATACTTAAAGGTGGGGTGTGTAATTTATTTCAGAAACACTTTTTTTTATATTCCATGGAATACTCTTAACATCCCGATAGCAATGAATATATGAAATGCTTTGACAATAAATGCGTTAAAAAATGTCATCTGTGGAAGCCGTAGCGCTGTAAAAAGCACGACCAATCATTTTAGCCGGCCCAGCTAAGTTTTTTTTAAATAACTGGATGGCCTACCTGCCTGTCAGCCTTCCATCTGATCACAAACTTATCTTGGTCATGTGCGTGTGTGTTGGAGGAGGGGCTCTGTAAGGAAGTGGCAGACTTTTTCCGGTTGTGTATTTTCAAATTCTAGCGCACTCGAGCTGGTTTCTCCAAAATGACCTACCCCACCTTTAAGACATAAGAACTTCTATATATTAATGTTAGCTTATTCGGTATTATTGCATGCCACTTTTGCTGTAACAATGTACATTTCCCCGCTGTGGGACTAATAAAGGATTTCTGATCTGAGAAAGAAAAAATGATATAAGGATATAATGGTGCAAGTAGGAATAAGCAGGAAAAGTCAACTATATATGTGTAAATTCAATGGAGATAAAACAGAATGAAAAAATAAAGTATTTCCAGTAGAATACAATCCTGTATTTTTCATAATGTTATAATAACTATTTGGACAACCAAATGTATGTAGGTGAATACACTTCACAGACCTCAGGGGAATGAATATGCTCTAAATTGGCTGTAATTTAAATGGATAAATTGTTCTCATCTTAGCCGTTGACAAGGCGTACAAGCTCCTCCTGGAACCAGACCAGAGGAAGAGAGCGTTGGACGTGATCCACGCAGGACAGGAATATGTGGAGCATCATGTGAGTTTTCAATACATCTCTTACTCTTCAAACATTCAAGGCATTTTGCCTGCATGTTACTCAGCTCTCCTGGTCTTTATTTGTTTGGTGACATTTTCCCTGCCATCCTGTGCCCCCAACAGGTAAAGGAGAAAAAGAAACAGCTGAAGAAGGATGGGAAGTCGTTGGATATGGAGGAGGACAACCCTGAAGTGGTAAGTGAAAGTTACAAATATATCTTACATACAATATAGCTGTCATAAAAACGAAATGGAGTCATTGTGATTACATGCACTCTCTGTCTATTAGTTTAATTAATTCAAACTAATAGGATTTTCACAAAGTTGAAATAGCGTATATTTGTAATGTTACCAAATATAAGTTTACTTGTCTTTCTACAGTTCAAGCAAGCCGTGTACAAACAGACCATGAAGCTGTTTGCAGAGCTCGAAATCAAGAGGAAGGAAAGGGAAGCAAAGGACATGCACGAAAGGTAAATCACACACTATGTTTATAACCCCTTTTTTTTTTTACGGTATCCTACCTAAACCTCTTTTTAATGTAAATCATTTTGATTCTAAATGTTATCACGGACTCTCTAACACAGATCGTCATTACCTCTTTCTCTCAATTCACCAGAAAAAGGGCAAGAGAGGAAGAAATCGAGGTGGCAGACAAAGCAAAGCGGGACCGAGAATGGCAGAAAAACTTTGAGGTGGGTTCCTCCAACAATGCGGTCACTCTTATAAATAGAACCACGGCTGCTTTTGGCATTCAAAGGAAAACCTTCACACACTTTTTGATGTGGATGCCTTATCGGAGTTAATGGTAAATGTTGTCAACTGCAGCAACACATTATCCAGTGTGTGTTGTATTGACAGAAAAAGTGATTCTGAACTTCTTATTTGTGACTTTTCTAAGCCTTTTATATTAATACATGATCTTTAGGACATACTATGACTTTTAATTACATTTTATGAGATGCTTAACTCGTCTTGTTTTGACACACATTTCTTTCTTTTTTTTTTAAATGATTATTTCTGTAACACATTTTCAGGAAACAAGAGATGGGCGTGTGGACAGTTGGAGGACCTTCCAGGCTAAAGGAAAGAAGAGCAAGGAGAAAAAGCCCAGGTCCTTCCTCAAGCCCCCTAAAGTCAAGATGGAACAGAGGGAATGATGCGGAAAAATGGGACTTTATTAGATTAACATCCTCTGTTCTAAAAACCCTAGTTCTGTGTCATCACCTCGTCGTCTGCAGTCAACTGTGAAGTCTTCTCTCGGATACTTCGTACAACAAATCCCTCATCCGACCCTGACAAACGTAGTTTTGTACTTGGTTTTCTAATGTACATATTTGTGATCTGGACCCGGAGATCATACCTGCCTCATGAAAGAGAAAACGATGTATCTTCCACTTCTGTCACTGATGAGAAAAATGTGCTCTGTCATTGTTGTTGTCCTTTTTCTTTTTTACTAAATAAAGCTTGGTCCTAACAAGCCGACATTACAGCGTGCCACGAAGATGAGTCTCAAATATGCACCAAAAAAAAGGTATTTCAAAAAACAAGTTGAGGTACTTGTTGGACACTTTACTAAGCCAAAATACTGACTGGATTCCCACCAACCTTAAAACATGCTGTTGGATCAAAGCAGAACAAAATATGATCTGGAAACTTTACAGAAATATGTTCAGTTGTCCGCAATGTCTTAAGATATTCATTAAGATGCTGTCATAAAAGTATGTGCAGCAGACACCAGTCAGATACCTTTATTATTTATATTGGATCAAATCCCCTTTAGTTTCTGCTTTTGTATTTTAAATTATTCCACCAAAAAAAGCAGTCCAGGAGTGAGAACACCAGATCAGTAAAATGGTACTCATTCAAGGTCAAAGTGTCAGAGATTTACTCAATATCAACATATTCCATTTTCACAAGTAGCTACAAAGTTCAATGCAAAACAACCATCATGAACAATTAATATCAACTGAAAGAAACAAAGACAGACGAATATATTGGCCTTCTCCCCTCTTCCTGGGTTAAGGTGCGAGCCTCTGCCTTTCCTCTGTGAGCTGTCTGTCCTTTCAGTCTCTTGAGGAACATTTGATTGTCGTGCAGTCAGGTGTCACATGACTTTGCACTGATCCCCTCCCGCAGCAGCAGAGGACCGTTTGCTCCCCAGCAGCTCGTCCAGACTGAGGCCCTGAAACGCTCCGAAGAACGAGTCGTCCTTCACCGAGGCCGGCTTCCTGGGGAAGTTGGTCTGCTGCAGGTGGGAGAGGGTGGAGACTGTAAGACGTATACTGACAACTAGGACCAACACTTATTGTTCTATTAAATGTCAGAAAATATTGCCCTTTGACCCTAAAATGTCCATCACAGATTAGATTAGATTAGATTAGATTAGGGGTACTTGGTAGGTAATGTACATCAAGAGTATAAAGATATAGCCATAGAGTACCCAATACAAAAATATACAGTTTGAATACACTACCACAGACCAACCTACTACTTAAAAATGTAAATAAACAATAGTGTATACATATATAAGTGTGCAAATAGCAACATAACAATTTAAATGTCTTGTTTTGTCAATCCAAAACCCAAAGATATTCAGTAGTTAAAAATTAAAACAAGAAATGTTAACATTTGAGCGCGGGAAAACTGCCAATTCTGCATGAAAAATTACTTTCAATATTTTTTTGAAAATGGCCAAGTCAATCTTGACAAACTAATATATTTTGATTTGTTTTGTTCACCTACCCTTGAGAGGCAGTGGTGGCTCCTGAATTGAGTTCTCCTGACCGCCCTCTGTGCGTTCTTCTTGGCAAGTTTGGCCTGCTGTTGTTTCCTTTGGCAAACAGCACAGAGCCACATTAGGAACAGCACAGAGCCACATTAGGAACAGCACAGGGCCACATTAGGAACGGCACAGAGCCACATTAGGAACAGCAAAGAGCCACATTAGGAACAGCACAGGGCCACATTAGGAACAGCACAGAGCCACATTAGGAACAGCACAGAGCCACATTAGGAACGGCACAGAGCCACATTAGGAACAGCACAGGGCCACATTAGGAACAGCACAGAGCCACATTAGGAACAGCACAGGGCCACATTAGGAACAGCACAGGGCCACATTAGGAACAGCACAGAGCCACATTAGGAACAGCACAGGGGGAAGCAGCTTACTCATGTGAGGAACAGCCTTATCCTCATTAAACCATGTTTGTGTTGCCAAGCTGGATAACAAACACCATCAGAAACTAAAACTCTGAATGAGTCACAACACTTTCAGAAATCAATGAACACAATGTTGGGATTAATAACTCATACATGATATAAGAGACTAAATTGCCTGCTTGAGAACTAATGACGTAGGTATTCCCCTACCTCTCCCTCTTCAGCTCCTCCTGGTACAGTCGGAGCCAGGAGTCAGGGACCTTCTGGCTGCTGCAGGGCAGGCTTCTCCTCCTGCTGACGCTGCTCCTGCGGGCGAAGCTGCTCCTGCGGCCACGCTGCTCGCCCTTCACCCCTCTCTTGGTGGAGGGTTTCTTCCCAGACACACAGCTGCTGAAGTGCTTCAGAGGAGCCCCGAGCGACATGAGGGAGTCCATCTCTAGGCTGTCTGGAGCTGGTGCTGTTTGTGAGAGCTCACAGGTTTAAACACTGAGGTCCAGGACAGAAGTGCTCTGCTTTACTTTCCAACAAGGGATGAGGCTTTGATCTGCAGATACAGAAAATAAACACTTTTATCCAGTACTCTTAGTTTATAGTAACAGCAACAAGTCAAGATATAATCATCTCATTAATTCACGAAGTAGGGTTCTGTTCAATACATATCTATACATTTTCACAGATTATTCATTCTCTTAAAAAGACAATAACTGTAAAAAAGCTTAAAGAAGATTGGCTACACCAAAGTATTTCAATGGAAATACATGAGGGTTCTTGGTATATTCTAAGAGGTCGTGTGCTGAATACATTGTACTGTTCTGCACAGTAGATCTGTCTTTTTTAACACAATATACTTTGTATTGAATAATCAACATTACTCACCTGCAGGTACCTCCTGTAGACACAATCAGCTGATGGTAGGATCTGTTAAAGCTGTACTCTCGTTGCTTCCACTACCTCAGTGTGTGTACTTGTATAAACCTCTGCTCTGTCACCGAGTGCTCTTATGGGGATTTACCTGATGACCTCACTGGACCTCAAACCGGATTACCTGTAGATGCACGTCACCCTTGAAAAACAGGGGCTTTCACCTGGTTAAATAAAGGCTACAAACAAGGAGTTTACCTCATTAACAAGGGAGTAAAACAAACAAACAAACAAACAAGCAGCTTCTATTTAACATTTGATCAGTAAGCAGTATTTAATCTATAAGCAGTAATAGATAGAATCGGAGGGATGAAACCCTCTTTAATGGTCACACATGCAGAGCACACAGCACACAGCGAAATGTATTCTCTGCATCTAACCCATCCTAGGAGCAGTGGGTAGCTATTGTACAGCGCCCGGGTAGCAATGGGAGTGTGTGGGGGGGGAGGGGGATATGGTGCCTTGCTCAAGGGCACCGCGGCAGGGCAGGAGGTGTACTGGGACCTCTCCAAGTAGCAGTCCACACTCCATATTTTAAGTCTGTGCGGGGACTTGAACCGGTTCCCAGTCCAAGCCCCTACTGACTGAGCCACTGCCGGAGTAACGTGACTTGCATCGCAGTTCAGTTTTAGACTTCCAAGTAGACTGCTTGGTTTTCATTAAAACAACTTCTAGTAATGAAAACCTCTACAGTTTGTTTTGAAGTAACAAGATGAGATCATTTGCTGATAGTTTGTTCTAGAGTGAGCCGGACTGACGACATGGAAGGCGGTGCGAGGATTTCTTCGCTTGATGCCAGGAAACATTGAACACCTGAAGGTCTCATTTCATTTATTCATTCACAACTGAATCCAGGTCAACATGAGACTCTTGGTTCTCAATTCTGAATTATTCCTATTCAAATAACACTAAACTCAAGTCTATATTTAAAAATAAACGGTATGTCACAAAAGTCAGTATAGTATACAATGACAAGCTTCTTTTTTTTAATCATTCAAATACAGAAATCTGTATCGTATGCCTAAAAAAAGTCAAGAAAAAGTAATGGTTTGGTATAAAAAACTTGTTTAAGCAATGAAAAAATATATATAATATAAATAAGGTGATAGTATAGGATTCAAGAGTTTAAGTTGAGTATGTCATAAAAACTTAAAGTAAAATAAATTCTGACAGAAATGACACAAAAAAAGTATACTTTTTACATTTATAGTTATTTGTTTTAAGGCTATCTTCGTGGTACGTTTCTTTTCCATTTGGATTCCCTTTTACTGTGTTAATGTTTTGCACCAATACCAAAGGAAATTCCTTGTACTTCTTAAATGAGTCATCATATCTGCTCATATATCACTTCCTCCTTCTCTGACCATGTCAGGCGATGGGACAAAGGTTGAGTTACAGAGGCCAGCTGACCTCAGTGACCCAGAGATCTGAACTCAAGGGTCCCAGCCTTTCTGTGGGACATGTTAGGCACACAGTGGTAAGACCCTATTGAGTTTATTTGACAGTCTTGTGTAGCAGGGTCATTTGCTAATATCTGGTCTTGACGCCCCCATATAACCTCAGTTATATAGTCGGCTGTAGAGCATTTGAATCACTTCATTCACAGGACAAACGTGGATTGAGAGAGAACGGGACATGGAAGCAGGTTATTGGATCAGCGCTGCGTCAGCCTCAGCTTGCATGACGCAGCATCCGTGCACCTGTTGCAGCCGTCCCGTGTTCCCCTCCTGACAGCTGAGCTCTGCGTTTGGAAAGAAGTCAGAGAGAGATTAGTTTCCAAAAGACATTGGCTGACAAGAAATCAAAGGTAAAATGAGGCATACATTACAATTCAGTAGAGCACCAGGAGGATAACAATCACTTCAAACTAATATTTAAAGATCCTGCAGGCAGCGGGAAATAAGAAGTTGCAGCCACTAAGATAAAGATAGTGGTAAGGGTCTGCTACTGGTGAACTACTTTCTAGGAAAACTATTAAGTGAGAAATTACACATTTTTAAAGATGATTTAATCAATAGAAGTTAAATGAATGCTGTGTTACTACTTTCCAGCAAGAAGTAAGTGTCTCTTTATTTATAGGAGTTCCCTGAAAACAGAACAATGCAGACTCCATGTTGACCTTCAGTCCAGACGTCTGACTTGAACATCGTCCAGCAGCGGCTTTAGTGAGAGAGGTAAAGATGGACTCAGACGCAGGGCTGGTATTTAAAGACGGGATGCCTCCCTGCAGCTACCAGAGGCCTGAACCCAAACTGAGAGCACCATAAGCCTTTGGTAAGGAGGACTTCACTTTAATTCTACACAATCGTACATATATACAGTTTTATACGCTTTAATTTCTTACAAAAAAACAAGTAATGTACAGTTGGGGGGTGGGGACTATGACCTATATGAACTCAAAATAAATACCGGTAACAGGAGTTGTGTGTGGCTCGTTGGCTACTTCCTATGTGCTTTACCTCGATGGAGACTTCCAGGTCTGACCGAATCACACTTGGAAAAAAGGCAGTTTATGTTTTTCGGATTTAAAAGAATGCAAGAATGTTCCCATGACTAATGCTGAACTACCAACAAGTCACTGAGCAAACATAATATGAGCATGTCACCCACACTGCCAACCCATACATACACACACACACACACACACACACACCCAGAAAGCATTTCATAACGTAACACATATCTATAAGACAGGCCATAGAGGCCTGTGTGTGGAGTGCCCAGCATTATCATCTCATTGGCGAACAATAACAGATCTATAGATCCGTCTCCATATAGGGGGAAATCTTTTAGATGTATAAAAATAAACATGAAAAACGATATGCAACGCAGGAACTCACTTGACCAAGACGTAAACATAAAACTTGAGACACTTGTCTCTTCTGGAGATAATTGCAATTTCCAAAGAAATATATATTCAATTTGAATTAATTGTTTCTAGCATCATATAATGTTACACGTCTCCATGTTAAGAGTGATGTGGGTGAGGACATGCACTGCATACACAGCTCTATCTCCTTTTAAACCTTTCCTTAGACTTCAGAATCAGAAGACATTTCTCCCCTTAAACTGAGTGATTGGGTCACCTGTAGTGTAGTGTATATTTCCTTCTAAGACGGTGAATCTTTACATGCTAATGAAAAGAATATACGGATGGACGGAAGGAATAGTCAAAAGGAAGACAGGAGCTGCATAGAGGGCTACTTTGGGTACAAACAATCTTCCACCAAAGACCTTTGTCCTCTGTGGAGGCTGTGGAGGGCAGAAAAGACTCATTCTTTTCAATTTGTCCAGTCTTTGTGTTACTTTGGTCTCTGCTGCAGAAACATGCCTCATGTGGCTGCAGAGCTGGATGTCCGATGGGCAGGGTGGTGGAGCAAGAGGAAGTTAAGGTGTCCATGCTTTATTGACAAACGACAGAAAAACATCCAGAGCCCCGATTAATTTAACAGTTCGTCTGCTCCACGATAAAAAAACGCTTGATCTTCTGTGTCATTCAGTCTCTGGAGGCTCAAGGGTCACCGGCTGATGTCCCGGTTGCCCTCCCAGCTCTTGCTGCTCCCCGCCTCTGCGGCCGCCCCGTTCTCAAAGAAGGGGTGTTTGAGGGAGTCGGCCAGCGCCAGCCTCTTGGTGGGCTCGTACTCCAACATGCTTTCTATCAGGTCGAACAGCTGGTGGTGCTCCTCCGCCTCCGACAGCAAGTACCGCTGAGAAAGGGAGTAATGAGACACTGTCAAGCTACAGCAGTACACAACACAAAAAGGTTTGATTTCTTCTGTTGATTTCACTTTTTTTACTTTCCACCCTGCGAATAAACATCAATCCTTATTTCCTTTTCTACTCCCCACCCGCCCTTCTTACCCGTAAGGGTTTGCAGTTTTCTCTGACGTATTTCCCCGCTGAGGAGCTCTCGTCCCAGTCCAGACGGCCACGGTAGAAATACTTCTGCTTCCTGAGAGTTTACAGACGTGACAGCGTGAGTGATGTGTAACTTTTATAAATAAAATATATGTATGCATGCGTGTTGTAGGCACGTGTCTTCTCACCTCGTTTTACGAATCATTCTGGAGGGCACTGGTCCCAGGATCCTCTCCATCATGGCCAAATGCTCCCTGTTGTCGTGAGTCTGAAAGAAATATGAGTAAGGGATCCATGACTCAGCATTAAGAGGGATAACCTGATTCAGACTATGAGTGTTGAACTGCTGCTGGTTCTGCTACATGAAGAGTAAAAGACACAGTCAGAGCTCAACAAGTGTTAGTTTGGCTATTTGGTGAGGCACAGGCTATATCGTCTACATTTAAATGTTAAAGTAGAAAAGTCTTTAACTTTTATCTTACCCCTAGATTCCACCGGGTCCGTCTGCGCCGCGTTACGTTACGGTGTTCACAAAGATCGCGGCCACTCTAGTCAATAGGTGCTATTCCACCAGACGCGCCGCGTTACGGCTCAGAAGCGCCCCAGAAGCGTCTCAGTGCTGGGCTCCGCTCAAAATAGAATGCAAGTCTATTTTTCGACGTGAGGCGTTGCAAAGCGCCAGGCAGGAAGTGGACCGGTCAGAGCATCCCGTCAATCCCCAAAATAAACACATTTTGCAGACCATCCCTCCGTAGTCTTTCAAGTAGGAGGAGAAATGCCAGCGTTCTCCTCCGGTTTACAGGCACTGTGTAAATTATATATAGAATAATTATGATGATGAATGCATTTTTTTACCACTAAAATACAGCAACACAGCTTTGATTCATGTCATTTATAACTGGAATATTACAATTATTATTAACTTTGTCTGTACAAAGTAGCCTGTCCAGGAAACATGCCCAAATCAACAAAAACTGCGAGCCGGCAGGCAAGACGCTCCGCTTCTGAAACACGCCCGGCAGGGTGTGACGCCGGAGGAGGTTGGACCAAAACCGCGGCGCAGCCATAACGCGACGCAGACGGACCCGGTGGAATCGAGGGGTTGGGTTCCAGCAGTGGGCTGTCATTGTACCTGAAACAAGGTGAAGCCCAGGTAGTACTCAAACAGGATACAGCCGATGCTCCACACGTCACAGGGATGGCTCCAGCCCAGCTCTAAAGAACAAAAACATGCATCCAATTAATGAAAACATCTAAAGAAATGTGTAAATGTTCAGTCTTCTTAAAGCTGGTTAACGGCTCGCTATCATTACACAAAAATGGTGAAATGACTCAAAAGTGTTTCAGTTAACTAGGGCAATCCAGTTCATGGAACAAATATCATGAGGCTTCAGGAAAAGATTGGAGGCAACGGCTCATTGAATTTAATTGTGTGATTATTTCTACATTAATTGTTTAATCGGATTGACCACTGCTCCCTGACAGAAGTATTGTTGTTGCTGTTGATTATATAGGAATGTAAGATAGAAGAGGCTTTTAAATAGAGGAATGCTGAGCTGGGGGGGGGGGGGGCGCAGTGGGTGTGTGTGAGAGGAGGAACAACAATTGGCAGAAACAGCTGTTAATCTCTAAACTAATTTCCCCATGACCCTATTTCAATTGGATCTGCGATAGGTTTAAATAATAAAAGAGTAGTTTCTGAGCAGTAGTGTTTACAATTAGTTTGTGGCCCAGAGCCTATTGACGCACTCACCCAGTATGACCTCGGGTGAGCGGTAATGCCGCGTGGACACAATGGTGCTGTGGTGCTCGTGGTCAAAAGTGGCGCTCCCGAAGTCCACCACCCGAACCGCCGTGCTCTTTACTGTCCGCTCCTCTCGCTTCTGCAAGAAGGAAAACAGTGTTCACAGAATTGTTGAGACTTGACTTTTCTAGGACTCATTATGTAAATTCTGGCTGGTTCAAGGTTCTTTATTTGTCAAACGAACATAGCTACAGTGTAGTTATGTAGATGAAAATCTTGTGCCACAGGCTTCTCCAACAGAGCAACACAAAACACAGATACACAGAAAAATATAGTGCAAGTAAATACAAGAAGAAAATAGTTTAAAAAAGTGAAATAGTGCAATAAGAGTCTATATGCAAGTCATTGAAATATGATATATTAGGTAAATAGATCAATATTTTTTAAGTAGCAGCCAGATGAATATTGTGGATGTTGTTGTTGTAACAGTCTTTTTAGTGTGTGGTTTATGGAAAATGTGCAGTCTGTTTCTTCAAACTGCAGCTATGGGTATTACATTCGTATTCATGAGAGCTCTAAGCAGTATCTTTTAACAACGTTTAAACAATAGACACATCAGAACTATCAGTATGACATTTAAAGTGGGATGTTTTTTGTTTTTTTAAACTTTCCACTTCAGTCTATAAAAAAAGAAATTCTCTCTTTCCTTTGCATCTTACCTTTTCTACATTGAAGGACATGGTGAAGTCTGAGTTGACAAACAGGATGTTCTCAGGCTTTAGGTCTGTGTGTGTCAGCTTATTGTCGTGTAGGACTATGGAGAAAAAACACGAGTAACTTGTTATAAAAACACATGGAATAGTTCAAAGACACTTGAGAGGTCATTTCACAACTGAAAGAACCTATCCAGGAAATCTTCATTACAGCATCATTTTCCAATAAGTTATTGACAACTCTCTTCTAATTGGCAGTTGGCCCTATAATGCCCTCATGTGGCTGCAGGCTGGTTACTACAGACAACAGAGGTTTTCAGTCCAGACCCTTAATTTGTAGGCAACTGATGAAGACACATCACTGAATAAGGGTGTTTGAAGGAAAATAAGGAAAGTAAAATTGTGTCACAAAAACCTACTAAATCTTATTATTATTATTGCACGTCTATTGCCTACACTAAATATACTAAATAGGTTTATTTTACTTGTTAGATCACAAATATGTATCTTGTAAGTTAACTAAATTAAAGACAATTATAAAGCAACTTACATTTCACAGAGAGACAGAGTTGGTAGGCCATGTGTCGGACCTGACCGATGGAGTAGGGTAAGTAGTTGTTTTCCTTTAGAAAGTCAAAGGTGCTGAGAGCTAGCAGCTCAAAGGAGATACACATGTGACCGTGGTAGTCAAACCAGTCGTACATCTGTACACACAGGCTGCAAGAAAAACAACATACACAAGGTTAGAATGTGATTCAGTGGGTTAGGTAACTTCCCATTAATCAAGTATTTTTAGAAGCTAATTCAGCACGTGTTTGTGTCCAAAGCTTTCAGAAAAGGGTGAGGCTTTTATTATCAAACATGAGCTAATGTTATTGTCACTACAGTAGGTTGCCCAGCTCTAATAAGGTAAATGATGATACTTGACTTTGAAGTTTATTACAGTACAACACTATTCAATCAAAACTCACAATTTGTTATCAGGGTCCTTTTCATTGATCTTCTCTAGAACATTTATTTCCAGGCGAGCTGCTTCCTTGTACTTTTCCACATTTTTGATAATTTTCAAAGCAACAGCGGCTCCTCCCCTATGAAACAAAACAAAACAAAACAAAACAGTATGAAGCCAACTACAGAGGACATAAACACAACCTTAATTCAGGGAGCAGATGCCTGAGCAAATGGCCTGACTTAATAGCAGATGCTAAAGGGAAAGTTGAACTTAAATGATATGACTTTGTAAGAAAAGTCCCTGATAATGATCAAGTTCAATGGTGGGAATATGGGAAGTCCCTCTTTGCCATAAGAACTTTTTTATGCAGCTTCATCAGCTGGATAGATATGAACAAAGAACCCCAAACAGGAATCTCCCACCCCTCAAACGTGTGTCTAAGAAAAATCAAACACAGTGAGCACTGAGCAGGTGTCAGCTTTTCGGTGTCAACTGATACATACCTGCGGTGGTCGATGCACTGCATCACCCTCCCAAAGGTGCCTTCCCCCAAAGTGCTGACAATCTCATCTGCAACACAACACAGAGAGAAAAGGAAGGGAGAGGGAGGGCGGGGAAAGAAAGAACAGGAGCATTAGACATGTGGACTTAAGTAGGAATACATGATGCAAAAGCTTAGACAGGCGAATCAATCTTAGCGCCCATCCCCTTTTTAAATTCAATCTGTATTTTACGAGATGTGTAGAAAATAAGGGAGGAAAGCGCTCCCTTTCTTTGATGACCAATTTGAAGCCATCAAAATTAAGGGCACATCCTCCGGATGTGGCTGTCTTTGCCCAAAAGGAAAGTGGGGTATTGTGTAAAACTGGAAAAATGATTAGGTGTTTCTACAAAACTGTGCTTGATCCTGAAATGACCACGGTGTAAAGTGTGTGCTGGTTGTAATAAGACAATACTGAGTAAGTGATGTGCATGTTAGATGTCTACAACAAAAATCCCTGAAACCCCTTATAGTGGAAAAAGCTATGTTAATTTACAGATTTAGAACTGTAACTAATTTCTAATCTGAAACGCAACAGAGACAAACAGCTGCAAATGGGATTCTATGTTTAGGAAAGTCAAGTAACCTGTGAAACATAGAAAAATGCTCCACAGCTTAAAATCCTAGAACAAAAAAGGAGAAGGTATCTAAGGTCCCTCTCAAAATCTTCAACATTCCTGCAATCCACCCTGCTATTTCAGCTAGAGCGAAGAGCATTCTAGCAAGGCATCATCATCATCAGGCACTCCCATGTCATGTAAATGCTCTATGCTTTAATACTCATATGGAGAATGGTTACGATAGAGTAGTGGCAGTGAGTACATCTCTCTTGTAGGACGTCCCCACTCCGACAGATCAGGTGCCCTTCCTCGTCGTCCCTCACACTCAGTGCCCGCGTCCGGCTGTCGCTCCGCTGTTTTCACACCCAAACCGCCATCAGCAGGTCACGACATGACCGGAGGGAACGGGGGATATTCAGGGACAGCCGCAGCAATGGTAGACGAGGAGGGAAGAGGAGGGTGGTAGTAGGTGGGTTTGGTGGTCATGGGGCGATTCACGCATGACACCACGTGAAGGAAATATATAACGATAGGGATATAGTGCAAGGGAACAAGTCAAAAATTACATGATGCTCCTCCCTCTACCTTTAATCCACAGCTGCTTACAAAAAGGAAGCAACTTGTATTCCATTCATAAACGCAAAACCAATTCAAACAGAAGTATAACTAAGTTAGAATAAATAAGATGGAAAATAAAATGAGAAGGAATATGTGTAATCAAGAAGGAAATATTTAAAGATAACCCCAACATATTAACACTAAATTCAACCCCTTGCTTACTTACATTTATACTACTTAACACAAATCTGTGTATAAATTAATCCACACAAAAATGCATTTTAACAAATCTAAGACATTTCAAATGTCCATAAAAAATGTTTAATTGCTTGGTAGAACATTTTCACTTTTTTGTCGTCTATCTGTGCTGCATACCAACTGTTACCACAGGCATTTGGGCTTTCCACAAATAACTGACAATCTAAAATATTAAGTTTAATGAAAGGTAGGGTCACAGACACAAACTAAGTGTGACCAGGTGTAACTAGGCATTCAATAGGAAAAGTGGAAAAGCTGTGATGGGCATGTATAGGAAGAACATCAATAATTGGCAGTTAATCATTAGTGAACTAATATAAAACTTAATTGCATAAAAATGAAAATGCTCTCCCAAAAAGAAATGCCAATTCAAGCAAACCCCATCTAGACAAAAATTAAGCAAAACCCTCTGAAAGAACAAAAAAAAAAAAATCATAAAGATTGTACTACTTACCAACTCCAGGAGCTATGGAGTGGAAATTGTTAAAGAAAGAAAGAGACAGAAGGAGCTGAGTGGAAGAAGAGACTGAGATGGAGGAGAGAGGATGAGGAGAGCTAAAACACAACCTCAGGACTGGCTGTACTCACCGAGGAGGATGGGCTATAGGACCTGGTTCTACGCCGCCTTCGTTTGTGCTTACGCCTGCTGCCTTTCCGTCGGTAAGACTCTTCCCGTTCTCGCTCCCTCTCGCGGCCACGTCGGTAGTCGTACAGGTTTGGGGTGAAATTGCGTGGGTAATAACTTTCAGCTGCTCCATGTGGCTCCCTTTCTCTGTCGCGGTCTCGGCTCGGATCCAAGCGTCTGTATCCGTCGCAGTATCTTCTGTCAAACGGCCGTTGCTCCGTAGAGCGATTGTCACAGCTACGACTGAATCAGAGGACAGAGACATACATTGAAAGCTAAAACTAACAACCAACCAGACCCCAAAAAAGATCAGCAGAGTTGGTACTTTGAAATAGCAGTAAAACAAACAAAATCATTTTCAATATACGCACAAACATACCTCCTTGAGCGTACAAAGCTTCCTTCCTGTCGGTGTCCTCGTCCCTTTCGGTCTCTGTCTCGATCTCGGTCTCTGTCACTGCTGGAGGAGAAAGAAGGTGATCTTCTGTGCCGGTGTCTTCGCCCTCTGTCTCTGTAGCGGTCTTGGTAGCTGCTTCGACTGTCTCGTTCCGAAGACGAGTACCGTCTCGTGTGAGGCATCTAGTGAATTATGAGGACAAAAACAAACATCATTAAGATTTTTAGTACATAAGATGCCTTTTCAATTTGGAACAGTTGCAGGACAGCTGTTTATACATTTACTCAAGTTTTTAGTCAGCTGCTTGCATCACTGGGACAGCTGATCACTGCCAGACTTGTAAGGCAAGGCAAGTTTATTTATATAGCACTTTTCAACACAAGGCAATTCAAAGTGCTTTACAAAAAATGAAAGACATTACGAAAATGGCATTTAAAATCAGTCATTAAAAAGAAAAGTTAATGAAATAAACATTAAAAGAAAAAATACATGGATAAAAGTTACAGTGCAGTCTAAGATATGAATAGTTCAATAAAAAGCAGCGACAAAAAGAAAAGTCTTCAGCCTGGATTTAAAAGTAGTAAGAGTTGCAGCGGACCTGCAGGTTTCTGGGAGTTTGTTCCAGATATTTGGAGCATAATAACTGAACGCTGCTTTACCATGTTTAGTTCTGACTCAGGGGACAGAAAGCTGACCAGTCCCTGAAGACCTGAGAGATCTGGATGGTTCATCATTTAGCAGGAGGTCAGAAATGTATTTTGGGCCTAAACCATTCAAAGCTTTATAAACCAGCAGCAGTATTTTTGAAATCTATTATT